AGTATAAAAAATATGCAATACGACAAATTAATGATTGCCACTAACGAGTGTTATTCTAAGTTCTATTCTATAAGTATTATTGATGTAAAACAATACTGAATTTGAAATACAAGTAACAAAAATGGGAGCGGTGCACTTGGACACGGTGCATTTGGACACAGCCAATCACAGCACCGTATGATTAGAGACATTTGTAGGGTCCCTTGGAACAGCGACTTGTGATTGGACTGTGTCCAATTGCCCCGTGTCCAACTGATATACACCCACAAAAATAACTAGTAAATAAATAAAATATATTATATTCGTAATATTTTTTTAAATATTACTGCAATATTGCTAAAGTAATATTGCAAATTAATGTCACTGCAAAGTCTCTGCAACATTGCACTGCAATATGCAATCTTGCAACGTTGTAGCAATGTTGCTGCAAGCTTCTGTGCTGTATGGGCATTGCTGAGATTCGAGCCTGAGACCTCTCCCAGGTAGCAGACACGTCAAAATGACATCCAAATCGAAGTAAGTTCAGAATCAAAAATAACTAAGCAATGATCAAAAATATCGCGAGGATATCGTCAAAATGATAGTCTAATGTCACAGATCGATGACAACATTTTAGACGACTTAATGACGTTTTATGACGTCTCTAAACGTCAATAATACGTTTTTAAGACGTTATACAGAAACGTCATTAAGATGTCACAAAAAAGACGTTTTAAAGACGTCGTTATTTAGTCACTTGACGTCATTCGACCAGTTATAACCAGTTTTTTACGTCATTTTGACATGAGTCTATTACTTGGGCTGATTCTTGTGTCGTTCACCTTACCTACTGCGTCACTATCACTTTGATTGAGAGACGCTTATATTTTGTACATATGGTATATCCATATATGAAAGCATATGATTTATTTAAAAGAAGAGAATAGATTCTTTTAAAATATATGTTTTAAAAAGTATATAAAAAGTATATTTAAAAAATATTTACATGTTTTAAAAGTAAATAAATTATTTTGTAAATTTAAATAAATTGTTTTCTGATAATAAAAGAAATTTTAATTTGAAACATAAAAAAATACTTTTATTAGAAAATAATTTATTCAGATTTATAAAATGATTTACTTCTATTTTATTTACTTTTAAAACAAGCAAATATTATATTTAAACAGTTTTTATATTTAAAAACACTAATTTTCTTTTTGTAAAGAAATCATTTGTTTATTCTTATATATATAGATATTTTAAATCAAAGAAATCACTTTTTTATTTATAAATTCATAATTTTACAGCTTATTTTACAAATTTAAAAAAATATTTCTTTATATTTATTATATATTTTCTAAAATTTAACAAATATTTTTTTAAGTTAAATTATATGTAACAAAATGTATTTCTTTCATTTAAAGAATTTTTTTCTAATGTACATTACCAATTTAAATTTAAATTTTCTTATTTCTTTATTAATTTAATAATTATAAATATTATATAATTATATATATTTTTTCATGTGCAATATTTATAGAAATATTTACAAAATATTAATTTTTTATTTACAATGTATATTATGGAAAATATTTAGATATTTAGATATTTCTATATTTTAATAATACTTTGAATATAGATTTTTATAATTTTTTCTCTCTCTT